ACCCCCCCCCCCCTTCAATTTTTTTAAAAAAATCATTTTTAAAATATATTTCAAATTTAAAAAATTTCATTTTTATGTCACCCTCTACCCCTACCCCGCCCCTAGGCCACCCCGTCAATTTACAAAAATAATTAATATTAAAAAATATTTCAAATTTAGAAAAATTCATTTTTACGCCGTGATAGCAACATATTAGCGACGAATTAGCGGTGAACTATTAAATACTTTCTTTTAGTTAAGAGTGATAGCAACATATTAGCGTTAAATTCATGAATATAATTTTTTTCTTTCATTATTTGACTTATGATTTTATTTTATTTTTTATATTGTTTTTGAGATCCAGAACAAACGACTGGAAGACTGGCTTTTCAAGCCAATTCTGGGAAAAGTAATATATATATATATACCGAATTTTAAGATTTCGATACATAATTTTTCATGTTAAAAAAATATTTTTATATTAAATTGATGTCCATAGAGTTTTGTAAATGTCAATTTTAGTAATGAAGCAAAATAGCAATTGAAAAAAGTCCCCATGACTAACATAACATTTTCTTACCTCATGACCTGACCTCCTAATAAGGGTTGATGTTTAGTTTCACTCCATGGCTAAGTATTTGAAGACCATCCATTTTTAAACTAAGGTCATATATAATTGGGTGTAACTTGGTGTTTTTTTTTTAATAAATAGGTAAGTTATACTTTAGTTGTGTAATGAAATATGTAGTATATTTTAATTTTATGGTGGACTAGGCAGAAATAAAAAGGAGGTGAAATAGTTAGAAAGTCCAAAAAAAAGGATAGGAATTACGTTTTATGGTCACTATTGTCCTCATGTAGTTAGATAAGGTTTGTGTGAGGGACATGCAATAAAACAAAAGATATAAGTAAAATAGAGAAGAACCTGAAATCCTTTGAGGGGAGTGTCATAATGGTTAGGATGGTTCACTCTTTCTTTTATAATATCTCGTAGATGCTTCGCGTAACTGCTCATGAAATCTACCTTAGTCGGACGCGTCGGTAGTGTCGTTGACACTTTTGTGAACCTGTTTGCATATTTACGAGCTGCTTCTTCGCATATTTCCTCCACTTCCACTGACGTTAAACCTCCTTTTTTTGTGAAGAATTTAAGACCATTTCGAGTGTAGGGTAAGTGAGAAGCAGTCATCTGCATCCAAGTAAGAAAATATTTTTTAATCTTGTGATCTTAAAAAAGTCAGTTGGAATTAAAGAGTTATCAAATGTCATTTCTTAAGTCCAATTAATATAGAGAAATATGCACTTCCTTCTTTTAATTTTTTTTAAAGGGAATGCAACGTCCATTGTGGTCATGAAGTAAAAATAAACAATGAGAGTAATTCTTCTACGTACCATTATTGAGGCATCATATTGACATGGAGGAAGAATAGTGCTCATGAAGCATGCTGGTGTTGTTGCAAGTCCCATGTCAAAGACCATGCAACCAGCCCTAGAAAGCCCAGAAAATACAGCAACACTCAATGTATTACCCGAAATTCGAGGGTCTTTTCCAAGAGAAACCATTACAACTTTCTCCTTATTGTTCAACCCTTTAATCACCCATTCACCAAAGCTTTCTGCTATTGCCTCAACAGCAGGTGGTGTAAGATCTATACTTCTACCTTTCTCACCTTGCAAGGCCACACCACGAACATCCGATCCATTTTGTAACCTTCTAATCTTATCCATTTCTTCATCCTCATTGTATGTCTTTGCACTACTACTACAACACTCTACTCTAAGAGAAAAAATCGATGTTTTTGACAAGGAAATATGCAACTTTGGTTTCTTTATAATTGGTACACAAGGGAAGTTGGTTATTGAAGAATTAATGGTTTGTAAAGAAGAAAAAGTGGAAGCCATTGCTATAGCTTGATTTTTAGACAAGAAGCTTGGAGGGATAAGAAACTTGGAGGGAAAATATCTTTCTACAACCTTCCAAATTGACTGATATTTTTCTTGTTTTATTCAAGGCATATCCTCTGGTTCAGGAAGAGCATCTGCCTTTTGAAATTGAACCACAATTTGCTCCTTTTACTCTAAAAATTAGGCACGAAGTACAATTGAAACAACTCGGCCTTGTAGGAAATATAAAAGGAGAATATTTTTTTTAGAGAATGCTCAAGTTTTATATAGGATACTTAAGACCACTTGAAATGATTACAATCAACAACTACATCTCTATTTATATTACTCAAAATATAAAATCAAAAGTCTTGCACAAATAACTAGATACATGTATCATAATTTACTAGATACATGTATTACAAAATCCTAAAAGACTTTTTGAAAAACTAAGAGACAATATTGGAAGACTAAACATCAAAGGTGTGAGTGTACCTTAATGCATTTGCTTGACAACTCCAATGCATTCTTGAAGACTGAAGACAACAAAACTTTTCTCTAGGAAGTGCTTTGGTAAAGATGTCAGCAAGTTATTCTCATGTCTGGCAATAATGCAACTGAATTTCATCTTTCTCTTGTGCTTCTCGGATAAAATGATACTTGACGGAAATATGCTTCGATCTTTCATGGTTGACTGGATTCTTGGGAATGGCAATCGCTGATTTGTTATCGCAATACAAAACAATCCCTCTTTTTTGTTTTTCACCAATGTCTTCAAAAATTCTCCTAAGCCAAATAGATTGAGAAGTAGCCTTAGCTGCTGAAACATATTCTGCTTCAGTAATGGATTGAGCAACAACACTTTGCTTTTTGGATAACCAAGAACAAATACTTGAACCAAATAAGAAAGCATAACCAGAAGCATTCTTCATGTCATCTATACTTATAGCCCTATCACTATCAGAATAACCAATTAAGTCCAAATCTAGTCCACCAATTGTGTACATTATCACATAATCCATTGTTCCTTCCAAGTAGCATAGATCGCGCTTTCAATTCCAAAATACACTTGGTTTGGTTCTTGCATGAATTTGGATAATGAACGAGGACATGTCTTGTTGAAGTAAGATATAACAGGCTTCCAATCAAACTCCTGTAAAGTGAGCTATTAGCTTTCTTTGCTCCATCATCTTTTCTGAACTTCTCATTTTCTGCTAATGGTATGGACATAGACCTACAATCCATCATTTTAAATTTTTGAAGAATACTTTTAGTACACTTATTTTGAGAAATAAAAATGTCTTCTTTCACTTGAGAAACTTCGATGCCCAAGAAATAATGTAGCAACCCAAGATCACTCATTTCATAGGTTTGCATCTGCTTGAATTTCTGCATCATCTTCACATCATTTTCTGTAAAGAGTAGATAATCCACATAGAGATAAACAATGATAATGTTAGCATGTTCTTTCTTTACATACAAAGTGGCTTCGCTTTTGCTTCTCTGAAAATTATTTTTCAGAAAGCATGCATCAATTTCATTGTACTAGACTCTTGGAGTTTGCTTCAGCCCATAAAGAGCTTTTTTAGCCTGTGCATATTCTCTTCTCCCCCGTGAATAAAAAATCCTTGAGGTTGCTCAACATAAATCTATTCATCAAGTTTTCCATTAAGAAATGCAGATTTAACATCAAGTTGAAAAATCTTTGATTTCTTTTGGGCAACAACAACAATCACAATTCTAAATGTTTCAAGACGAGAAAATGGAGAGAAAGTTTCATAAATATCAATACATGTTTTTTGCATGAAACTTCTAGCAACCAACCTTGTTTTGTGCTTTTGAATATTTTCTTCCTGGTTGAGTTTGATTTTTGTAAATTCAATTTAGACTTACAACTTCTCTTTCTTTGGGTATAGTCACAAGCTCCCAAGTAATATTTTTCTCAATCATTCGAATTTCTTCTGTCATGGCTTTCTTCCAACATCATGTTTTATTGCCTCCTCGTAATTTTTTTGGCTCAACTCGACAAAGTTACATCTCTGATAAATGTTACTCAACATTTTTGTTCCTCTTGGAGGCAGTTCTTCATCATCTGAATCTGAGATTTCTCCCCTTTGAAGGACAGCTTCTTCTTCCTCATCCTCTTCCTGATTTGACACATCAAAAGATATGATAGAAGAATTCTCTACCTTTTTATCCTTCTAATGTCATTATGTTTTTCATAAAAAAAATGGCATCTTTACCAACAACAAGTTTGTTAGTTTTGACATCGAGAAGCCTATAGCCTTTTGTCACATTACTATAACCAAGAAATATACACTTTTGACTTTTTTCAACCAATTTTTTTTCTTAGCAGGTATATGAGCATAACAAATACACCCAAAAAAAATTAAATGACTTACAGAAGGTTTCATTCCACTCCAAGCTTCAACTGGTGTCTTGTCCTTCATTGCCTTGTCAGGAACCTATTGAGGATATACACCGCTATATGTACTGCTTCTTCCCAAAAATATGTTGGTATCCCTTTCTCATTCATCATAGTTCTTACTATTTCAACAATTGTAACACCTTGTATGTGAATGAGGCAAGCCTAGCCATTTTTAGGATTTTTGGGTGTCACCCACGAGGGGCCAACCACGTCCCATGGGTGGGCTTGTGGATGACCACCTCTTGAAATCTGCCAAAGGCAGTGACCACGAGCAAGACCCATACCTCGTGGATAGGTCCACGCCATGTGGTTGGGCTTCGTGGGTCAAGGGCCATTTTCCAGTATCTCTGAACCCCAAACCACACCTAATCAAGACGGGTCGTATGTCCACCTACACCCCGTGGTTGGGGTCTCGTGGATGGGGGAGTAGTCGATTAAGTTGAGGACTAATGGGTCTTTTCGAATTTAATTAGAATTAAGTGGTGTCGTTTTACCCTAATCTAGACCACCTATATAAAGACTTTAGACCCCTAAATTAAGTCATCCAAGTTATTATTTCTAAACTCCAAAAATAAACCCAATTCTCTCCCAAATATTATCTCTCTAGAAAGAAGAAGAAGAAGAAGAAGAAGAAGAAGAAGGAGAAGGAGAAGGAGAAGGAGAAGGAGAAGGAGAAGAGGGTTCAAGCTAGGTCAAGTCCTCAAATCTTCAAGCTTTTGTGGGAATTGTAATCAAGGTATGATGGTTTATTTATTCATGGATCCCTTTCATCCATGAATCCCCATGTTTTCCCCAATTTAGAAAAAGAATTTCCCAAGTCAATCTAGGGTTTCTTCTAATGTTATGGGTTATGATCCAATAAAGTGGACTATGATTGTTTATGATTATTTATAATGGAATTGCATGTTTTTAGTATGATTATACATGTATTCTTGATTAACCTATGATTCTAAGGTGAAATTGATATAGTCTGGTTTTATGCCATGAAAGGGGAAATTGAGGACTTATATTTGATCTTCTAAGATTGATGAATTACTTTATGAATTGCTTAAGATTATAGCACCTAGACATGAATTGGTTAAGGGTAAAGCTTATAGACATAAATTGATTAGGTTAAGGCTTATATGATGAATCATGATTAGTAGTGTTGAGATTGAGTTTATATTGATGATATATGATTAGAATTGCTTAAGAATGAAGAATGTGGTTAGAATGTCTTGAGAATTAGGCATATATGAGGATCATGAGAAGTATTGCTTTGATGAGTAAGGGTTGTACTATGAATGTGATTTCTAGGGCTTTAAGGGTAAAACCTAATATGATGAACTAGGAATGCTAAGGCTTTGAGAGTGAAGCTTATATGTATGTTGATTTGTATGTGGTGGTGTTGTGGAAGGACTTTGTCCACATGACCTATATTATGAGTATATGAGATTATGCATGTTTTATAGAACCTATGTAAATGCTTTATGAACACTTTGAGAGTAAAGTGTCTATGATTATGATATTGAATATGAGATGGAAGCTTTTACTTAAGTTGAGTCCAACTTCCAAATAGGATCCTTTTACACTAGTTGAGTCCAGATTTCCAAGTATATCTCATGAGATGGAGACCTTTTACACTAGTTGAGTCCGGGTTTCTAGCAACAATCTCCATATTTATAGAATTGCCTAAAATGAATCTAAGAGTAAAAGTGATCATGGATGGTGATAGTTGCTCACGCATGATCTAATAAGCCTTTCTAATAAACTAATACATGCTTAAAGAAGTATCTCGTAAGTGTTCAAAGGCTTCATGTATGAATTATGTTAGCTTGAAGTAGTGATGTGATGTCCCTTCATGAATAGCTTGACATGGTAAGACAAAACCATGCATGGTAGCTTGAGAGAGTAGAACTCATGGATAGCCTTGGATTGAGAAATCGTACCCTTCCAATGTAGCTTAGACTATCATAATAGAATGCTTGCATGATAACTTGACTTGGTGAGGCCACATCATTTCATGATACCGTGGATTGAGCAATAGTACCCTTCCTTGAGTAGCTTGGACTTGCATGAGAGTGTGCTTTTCATGATAGCTTGGTCTAGCATAGTAAGGTGCTTTTCCTTGATAGCCTTGAATTGGTAAATAGTAACCATTCATGAGTGATGTTATGCTATGGACTAGTAGAGAGTTACTCTTCCATGATTAGTATGAGTATGAGGGACAAGTCCCTAATCAAAGTAGCATGTTTATGATGAAACAAGACTACTTCAAGGAAGTATTGTAAGTATGTTTCTATATGAGATTACTTGTATGATATAAGATTAGCTTGGATTGTTGCTATAGTTGCCTTCCTTGATATGTTGACTAAGGTGAATATTCCCTTGTCTATGAGAAATAAGCTAAGGATGAGAACAAAAGATGATGAATATGAATAATGGCCTAAAGTAGTTTTCTTAGTATGGGTGAGATTATGGAGTCTTATCCATGCATTGCACAAGCATGCCTTGAGGTTACTTATGAAGTGTTCCTCTTATGTTATGTTGATCTAGATGCATTGATTATGCCTATGACTCTGTTGTTACCTCTTATGCTTATGTTTTATGATGTATCTCTTATGATTATGGTATATGTATTATGTTGACTAATGCCTATGATATGCTTATGTTGATGATTCATGCTAGCCATCATATTTAGTACATTTTGTACTAACGCATACTTTGCCTACATTCTTATCAAATGTAGGGTTCGGCGATATTGACTTTCATTCTCGTGGCTAGAATCATAGTAGAAGCAAGCAAGTGAA